TATTATTATTATATTATTATTATTATTATATATTTTTTCCAATTTGGACTCTCGCTTTGGAGAGGGGATGCTTTCGGGATCCCCTCTTTCTACACCCCCACCATTTTCACTGGCTGGGGGTCTCTTTTTTTGCGGGAAGGGGGTGACACTTTGCACGTTGTACACATATGCTGCAGGATGGGCGGGGGCCGGCACACCTCGGGGAAGGACAGGTGCTGAGCCCCGCAGGCGGAGCCCTGCCGCCCCACCCCCAGAGAGAGGGGAAACCAAAAAACGACCCAATAGCAGAGCATCCATGGTCTATGTGGAGACCCCAAAGTTGACTTGACGCGGGGGTGGGGCCGGGTCTGCAGTGTGCAGCTCTGCTTCTGGGCTGGGGGTGAGGGGCCACAGGGACGTGGGCAGAGCAGCTGAGTGCCCCTGCGCCCACGCGGGACACCCGCTGACTCTCCTGTCAGCCACACCCCCGAGGGTGCTCGGGTGCCGGCTGAGATGAGAGTGGGGGCCGGGGTGGGGAGCCCTCTCAAAGCACATTTGGAGAGAAAGACACAGAGAGCCATGAGGAAAGGGCTGTGGAAGGGCGGAAGGGCCGGAGCAAGGGGTGAAGTGAGTGCCCCCCCCATTCCCCAGCCTTTTCTCTAAAATACACAGTGCAATAGCTCCCCTCCCTCAGGGGACATAAGCCCTGTCCAATGGCCACAGCATGCAGGGACGCGGGAAGAGGAAGTCCAGTGAGGTGGCTTAGAAAGGGTGGGCCTCGGGCTGCCCTGGGGGCTGAGAGGGAGGCAGTGCCCCTAAGAGCTCTCACATCCAGGGGCCAGTGGCGGTGAGGGGCTCTTTGCACGCACACATCCCCAGGGGAGTGGGCAGTGGGCCGGTCCTTGGAGGTGGGGGGGAGGGCAGAGGAGGTCTGCAGAAGGCCCACCTCCCTGGTGCCTCCTGGAACCTCTCCCTCCCCCCTCATCCCAGTTCCTCTGCTCCTGCCCGCCCCTTCCCCCCTGCTCTTGGCGCCCTCATTGTCTCGCTACCTCCTGTCCCACCAGCCCCGGGCCGCACCCCACCTTCCCTCTTGGCTACTGTAATTGTAAATAGCAACCTTTGGAAAACATTAGCAGTGTAACAGTCTAGGAAACTGTTGTGTTTTTTTTTTTTCGTTTGTTGTTGTTGTATTGATATGAAATGAGATTCTATTTTTGTCAAAGTATATTGTAATAATAATGACTCAAACGGCCCGTACTGTACAGACGAGATTCTTCTGCTGTGTTCTTGCACCCCCTCTCCCCCGAGTCTGTCCCTCTCCTGCCTCCTCCGTGGGGGCAGTGATCAAGGGGCCCAGGGGCAGCCGAACCACGGGGTCCTGAGCGGGGCAGGCCCCCGGCCCCCTACCCACCACTCCCTGCCACCCTAAGGGGCTTGGGCTGGGGAGACATAGGTGGGCAGGCAGGGTCGGGCCCCATCCTTCACATATGCCCCCTCCTGTGCCCTGGGGACCCCACACTCCTTGGGAGTTTCTTATGGGTTGGAGAGCAGGGTTAGACGAGGCCCAGTTTTGTGCTGACGGACTGACGGACTGACTGTGCCCACCTGTGTGGCCCCGCAGTATTGAACACTTGATGCAGGGAAGGACCGGAAGCAGAGGGTGTTTGTGACCACTCAAGTCCCTGAGTGTGTTCACGAAGACATCATGTGTGAGTGTGTGTGTGTGTGTGTGCTCAGTGGGAGCTCTGAGGGCGTGGCTTTGTTGGCAGGGTGACAGGTGTCTGTTCCCAGCTGCACAGCCCTGGCTTCCCACTCTCAGCTCCTCCTTCCCCAGCCCCGCCCTTGCCTCTGCACCCACCTCTGCCCTCCTCATGCTGTGCTGTGGGATAGGTCTGCAGCTGAGAGGGTCTGCTCGTTGGCCCTCTCTGTGTCTCCCGGCCACCCTACCTCTCCCTGGCCTTCCCGCAGGAACCTTGGCCTCCACCCCCTAGTGTCCACTTAGCCCTCTGGCCCAGCCGCCCAGATGTGTGATCAGTAACTCTGGTGCCCACCTCTGCACCCCGCCTCCCGCAGTATTCTGACATGTGACACAACTCAAGCCTCACTCCCTTCCTTCCTTGCAGCCAACCCCCTGCCCTGCTGAGTGGGCCCCCCCGCATGTCCAGTCTTCCCACCGCTCCTGCAGGTTTCTGGAGGAGGGGCAAGAATTGAGGGGAGATGAGCAGGGCCTTGCAAGCACCCCAGGGTCTGGCTCATGCTGGGCCCTTGATAGGTGCTGGCTGCATGGATGCCTGACTGAGGTGAGGGGTGCTTGGTAAATGCTGAGTGACTGGCCTGGCCTTCAGGGGTGCTTGGTAAACGCTGAGTGACTGGCCTGCCCTTCTCCGGCCCACCTCAGTCTGTTCAGCTCTGTGGGCTGGGCTTGACCACCATCACACGGGAGGGGGAGGACCTCTGCAGTCCATGGTGCAAGATTCACTGGTTTTGCCCTCTACCTTGTAATGGCGAACCTGTGCGGTTGTGCCTGTGTGCCCTCCTCTGTCCCCAGGGGCGGCAGGGGCTGTGAATGAATGAATGTGTGGTGTGTGTGTCTGCAATTCAGTGTCTCAAGGGGACAGGGCTCCTGGCCAGCCAGATGGACGAGCCCCCGGGAACATAGACACCCCCCAAGTGAGGACCTCAGTTCTTCTCACAGCCAAATTTGCCTACACCGCCCACCCCGAGGAACTGGGCATTTGCCAAAGTAACCCCTGGAGTCATCCAATGCCATCCTCTCACCACCCCGCCCCAGTTTCCCACAGCCTTCAGGGACAGCGACAAGAGGAGCCCCTCCCCAAAGGAACACCATTTCCCATCACCCTATAGCGAGACTGCCCCTGCCTCCCTAACGCCCCCCTACCTTGGACAGGAAGGAAGTCATGCACCTTCTCTTGCTGATTATTTATTTGTTTGGAGAGACAGAAATGATGTAAAAGTGTATCTAGAAATATCTATATCTCTATATATTTTTAACTGACTCTTTGGAATCCCCTGGGGTGGGGAGGGAACTGAGGCTTTCGTAGGGAGGAGGAATCACGGAGCCTGGGAATTCCTCATTCTCCCCCTCTGCCCCCTCTTCCCGCCCCCACCCTGCCTGCCGCCCCAAAGCAGTTGGTGGAAGGAATGGGATTTGTATGGGGGTTAGGGGGGGCTGGAATGTTATATGGAGAATCTGGATTCTCGAAGTCTTCCCTGTTCAAGTCCCAGAGGGAGGGAGGGGCGGGAGCAGCCGTGGAGGTGCCCACCCCCAAACCCGACAATCACCCACACTCCTGGGCCCACGTGTGTGGCTGTGGAGTTGTTCTCACTGTTTCTTTTTGTGCTGTACGGTGATGCTTTCTTAGTATTCTACACAATAAGGAGAGACAAAGTTCTCGGGATTCTTAGGAGTTTTGTTTGAAAACTCTTTCACTATATTTGTTGTAAAGAGGTTTACTATTAAAAGAAAAAGAATACACGTTTCTGATACTTCGGCTTGGGCTCCGGTTTCTTTGGTGCGGTCGGCTGAGGCAGGGGCAGGGCTGGGGCAGCTCTGCCAGGGTGCCAGTGCTGCAGCACCACCTCAGCGGGGAAAGTGATGGCCAGCCTGCCGGGGAGGGAGGGCACCTGTCCAGGGGGAGAATTGCCCCCAGCTTCCTCGGTCTGCGGTGGCCCCAGGACTCATCGGGGTACCCCGTCCGAAGCTGCGGGAGGAGCCTAGGAAACGAACAGTGGCAGTTACACACAACACACCCCGAGGTCAGGTCAAGCTCCGGGTGTTGCTTGGCATGGAGGGTGAAGCAGGCAGAGGACCCCTGCCAGCCCCTTGTCAGGCTGGGGGGATTCCCCACCTTCAGGGCCCGCAGAGCATGCACCCCCTCCAGCAGAAAAGCCTGCCCAGCCTCGGCCTCCTGAGGTGTTTCAGCAGAGCCAGGGGACCTGCTTTTCCTCCTTGCATATCCCAGAGGGGCCCCACACCCACCTGGTGCCCTTCACGGCAGGCTGCACTGTCTGCTACCTTCGCCACCCCCTGCAGAGCTGGGCCATGGGGCCGAGGCAGCTGCCCCAGTGAGGCACGCCAGACTTGACTCATGATGAACAGGCTGCTCCTCTGTGCCAGGCCCGCCCTGGGTGCTGCCGAAGTAAAGACGGAGTGAGGCACCCATCTACAAAGGCAGAGATGGGCCTGCCAGTGCCTGCGGGCAGCACTGCCTGCCCCTTCGCTGGTTGAAGGGTTCAGGCCGTGGCGGCACAAGGACACAGGAGTCCGACAGGTCCTGGGACATCTGATCTGTGAGCCTCAGGTTCCCTCCTCTGCCCCCGCCCCGCCCCTGTCCCTCGTGGAGTCATGGTCGATGCCCCCCAGGCTCTCCATCGGAGAACGGATGTGCTGCCCAGGAAGGGGTTAAGAGGATGCCATCTTCCAGATGAGCTGCTCCAGCCGGCTGTCTGTGGTGGCAGCTTCCAAGCTGGCAGGGGCCCTGCCTGGTGCGTCTGCGCTGTCGAGCCCCCTCCCACGTGGGATGGGGTTGCAGTGTGGGGCCAGCAGTGCACAGCTTCAGAAGGAATGGTCTGACTTCCGACGCTGCAGAGTCGCACAAGACACGGCTTCTGTCTGTCTGTCTGTCTCTCGCTGGATACCGTGTCACGGGACACTCGAGCTGCCCTCTGGAGAGGCCCACTTGGCAGAGAACGGAGGCCTCCTGCCAGCAGCCACCGGAGTGAGGTTCTCTGTCCCTGCTCTCTGTCGTGTGAGCTTCCCCAGACGCTGCTGCAGATGGAAACCCATCATGGGTGCGGTGCGTGCCCAGCTCACCAGGCCCAGGGAAGAGAGAA